GCCCTGCTGCCCACACTCCTCCTAATGCACCCCAGGATCCCATTGGATTTCTTGGCACCCAGGGCACACTGCTGGCTCATGGTCACCCTGTCGTCCCCCAGCACTCGCAGTCCCTCTCCCCAGAGCTGCTCCCCAGCCTGTCCTGGTGCCTGGGGTTGTTCCTCCCCAGGTGCAGGACCCTGTGATTCTGTGAGATGGAGGTGGAAGTGTCGCTCACGGGCCGCAGTCAGGCAGAGCTGCTGTTTTAGCTTGTAAATGGCCATATAGGTGCTGAAAGTGGTGGGATGCTTCGCCCGAATTTTTCTTTCCTTCGATTTATCCCGTATTGGAGGAGTTTTCAGTCCTATCACCTGAGCGTGAGAAACTGGTGGCCTGCCACACCGTGGTTTTTCTTGCCCTGAGTTTCTTACGTAAAAGGTGCAATCCCATCACCTGAGAGACGGTGAAAAAATCATTTCTTTAAACACCCATGAAATGTTCAAGTGAAGCAGAAGTTAGACTTTGGAGAAGTCTTTGAGAAATTTAATAACGCCTTTCAAACATGGATTTGAAAAGCGTACAAAGGCCCAGGGTCACGAAGTGAATGAGGAGCGCTGAGCGCTGGCGTCCCCGCTCCGGGCAGTTGGTCTTTGCTGCCTTTATAACGTATGATGTGAAGTGTCACCCTTGGGTAGAAGTGTCATAGAAGGAAACCCTCGCTGGAGTGGGTTTGCCCGTCCTGGGGCGGGCACGGGTCTGGGTGCAGGCAGCGTGGGCAGGAGCCCGTCCGCTCCCCACGCTTCGGCTCGCCGCGGCTTGCCTAAATAATAAATATATTTTATCTGCAAAAATGGAGCATGAATATCTACCTTAGCAAACAAATTAATGGTAATTAATGATCAATTTTATGCAGCTAGCATTAAAATGCAATGAAACGATGAGCGAGTGGACCAGGACTAGAAGTCTGCGGTGTCTTACTGCCTGTTCTGACGTCGCGTCTTTTGTTTTTCAGCGAACAGAGGAAGCGGGGCAGCGGGCAGCTCGCAGACTGGTGATGCGCTGGGGAAAGCACTCGCCTCTGTAAGGAAATAATTTACTTTGGAATAACCCGTTTACCGTTTTGAAAATGTGAGCTTTATATCAGAATTGGACGCCTGGAGTTTACGAAGATCAAAACGGGCGAGATCTGGTCTCGGAGGTCACCCGCGGGGAGCCACTGCCAACCGAAAGTGCAAAATGGCGTGGAGAAAGCTTTAGCCTTAATTTTAGGGTAGAATAGA